TGTGAGAAAAGTCTGGATGATTCGCCATGTTGTGTTTATAACGGTTTGCGGAGGATCATTTCGGTATTGGAACATTTGATGAATAATTTTCGTGGCGACAAAGCAGAGTGTCGAGTTGATCGTTAACGCAAAGAACAACCGGGAAACCCTATCGTTTGTGAATTAAGGAGAAAATGAAAGGGGCTTGTCAAACGGCAATCATCCTCCATTATGTAACGTCATCCCCCTTCGTGTTCCGTAGCCGTGACTCGTGTGAACCCGCCGGAAAAGATAGGAAGATAGCGAAAATCTCGACGCCGGGAAATAATGCTTCAGAAGAGAGGTAAACTGATCGGTCATGTCATGGCTTATTGGCGAGTCAGATCGCCCACATCGGCTATACAATTAAGGTATTCATTTCCGTGTGCGATTCACTCTTTCGTGCCTCCCACGATTTCACACGTGTATCCGGCTTTGGTACAGATCATTCGATCCTTTTCCACGCTTTTCTCGCCAAAAATCGCTTGGTATTTCATAGAGGTGCTCGAGTAGATGATACATACGATTATTAGCGATGCTTTTCCACGCTTTTCTCACCAAAAATTGCTTGGTATTTCGGAAGTCCTCGAGTAGATAATAGATACGATTATTATTAATCCTTTTCCACGCTTTCCTCGCCAAAAATTTCTTGGTATTTCATAGAATTCCTCTAGTAGATAATGCATACGATTGTTAGCAATCCTTTTTCACCCTTTTCTCAGGAAGTCGCTTGGTATTTCACAGAAGTCCTCAAGTAGATAATACATACGATTATTAGCAATCCTTTTCCACGCTTTTCTCACCAAAAATTGCTTGGTATTTCATAGAAGTCCTCGAGTAGGTAATATGTACAATTATTAGTAATCTTTTTCCACGCTTTCTTCACCAAAAATTGCTTGGCATTTCATAGAGGTCCTCGAGTAAATAATACATACGATTGTTAGCAATTCTTTTTCATGCTTTTCTCACCAAAAATTGCTTGGTATTTCATAGAAGTCCTCGAGTAGGTAATATGTACAATTATTAGTAATCCTTTTCCACGCTTTCCTCGCCAAAAATTTCTTGGTATTTCATAGAAGTCCTCTAGTAGATAATGCATACGATTGTTAGCAATCCTTTTTCACCCTTTTCTCAGGGAGTCGCTTGGTATTTCACAGAAGTCCTCGAGTAGATAATGCATACGATTATTAGCAATCCTTTTCCACTCTTTTCTCAGGAAAAATCGCTTGGAATTTCATAGAGGTCCTCGAGTAAATATTACATACGGTTGTTATCAATTCTTTTTCACGCTTTTCTCACCAAAAATTGCTTGGTATTTCATAGAAGTCCTCGAGTAGATAATACACACGATTATTAGGAAACGTAAATTTTCTAAATCCACACGAAGCAGTCGTAAATCTTTCTACGAGTAGTTGCAAGAGTAGCAGACCATGTTGGCGTTTTTCATGGACTGGCACGCTTTTCATTGGTGAAAAAAGTTCGAGCAGGTCAGAAGGGTCCATAGATGAACGTGATAAGACTGTTGCGGAAAAACGACGCCTCGCGGGGTGCATCAACCCCCACGTGGCCTCTTATCACGGTATCGCCGTTTAACGATGCGGTGCGTGACGCTAGAGGGACCACCTGGCGTTCGAAACCACGTGTCGAACCTGGTGGTCACGTGTCCACCATGGAACATTCCCTCGGAAAACGGCACTCGTGACTTTCGCGTATTTACGTCCGAAAACCACTCGGCATTGTCATCATCATCTAGCATCATCTCGAAATCGTCGATGACAATCTCCACGCGTAAAACTTATACCAAAACATTCTGGAAAATCTTTATCCCAAATTTTTGGTGACTTGTTTTTCACGGGAAAATTGTCAATAGAAGGGGAGTTCGAGAAACCACTCCCATATGGGCCTTCACCCGTGCATTTTGACAGAATCCGAAGCTAATTGGGACCGTAGAGTCGACTCACCGCAAAACGTCTAATATTCTAGACGAATGCGTCTTGTAGCGTCCAAATAAACCAATATTTTTCCCATGGATATACATAAGCGATTCGTAGGACGAGGGGCACTTCACTGACAGCATGGGGGTACGGGTGCGCCTCGTACATGCCCCATGCTGAGCAGAGCAATACGCTACCAGTCCGAATACGGCCCCATAAACATCCCGTGTTCGCGTTACTCGGACTTGGAGTGCGCTCGTGTGAATACGATTCTCGAGTGTCTCGCGAATCGAATCGTTACTGCTTTAACAGACTGTTAACAGCCAGCGCGTTCCTACATAGAAGTCCTGGCTCATTGAAATTGTAATCTTCGGAACGTTGAACCAGCCTCGAGCTATTCAAAAGTTGCTTCTCTCTTGTCTCGATTGGCAAACGACGTGCCCATTAGTAGGCCAACTTGGTGCACGTATACGTTCCTAGGAGTTCGATTGCTTTGACAGCGTTTTGCTCGAAACCCTCGAGTTTTGGCATAGGGGGAAACCATTTTGGAGATCACGTTCCAGAGACAAGACAAATCGAAGACAAATTTTGTGGATGAAGATATTGGAAGTAGAAAAGAATCTTGGAACGAATGCACGAGAAGATGGAAAAAGGAGTAGAATGATCGATCGGTTTGTACATACACGGGGAAACATCGGCTGGTAGAACGACGACAGTTCAAACCCTCTGCTCGACCTCCGATACGGATGCCAGTGGTACAAATGAACGGAATTAAGGGGCTTTTAGAAGCGTATACACACAGACAGAGGCGACCGGCACACATCAGGGGTAGATAACTCCCGAGAGAATTACGAGGGGGTGAGAGGAGGAACGGCGAAAGAGGAAGCGTTCGAGGGGTGCTCTTTGATTGGTGTGGGAAGATTCACCGGCAGTTAAGCTCTGTCAGTGACTACTCCTGCTAGGGAATTTCTTGGCGCGAGTATTTCTACGAGGAAAACGAAGTGTTGCATTTTAACGTGACATTGCAAACCTTACCTCTGATATTCCAACCCTGACAGTATCAGAAAATTATAATTATCTGGCAAGAAAAATTCCAATTCTTGGAATGGAGTTTCAAAGATCTATCTGTACGCTTCTTAATGCAATACACGATTTATGATACTTAATTGCCATCGCTAGGACTCTGTGTATGTCTCGCGATTAGTATCTCGAGTGGCATTCTAACCTCAATTTTGTCCAATTTTAATTCCAAAGTAAAAGATTGAAGTATCCATGGAAGAATCGTCTCAGTGAGGGAAAGATTGGTTCGAGATTCGGTAGACATGTCTCCTACGCGACGTAGCATCAAGGATTCATCGAGGAGAAAATAATGGAGGGGTTGCTCGCTTATCTACCGGGTGTCATAAACACGCCTAGGCAGTGGCTGTTCCTTCCATTGTCTTCGGTGGTCCGACGCAAAGCCACAAAGCGTGTCCAGGCTTGGTGTTGGTGCACGGACATGCACGTGGAGCACTGACACGGTTGCAGCCAGAAATTGCACGAAGTCGCTGGTTGTTCGAGGGAGAGAGCAACGGAGTGCCTCGAGATGTTTATCTTGCGGCGTCCAGGACAAAGCGAGCATTTCTGTACACGCTCGTAAACGTTCCCGTGGCTTTTGATGCACGCTCATGAGTCCACCTAAGATCCCCACCTAGGGATGGACGGCGTCTAATTGAACCAGTTAAAAAGGACTACCCTATACGAGGCCAGGCCCGTAAAGTGGCGTGGCGGACACCCTCCTTTAATTCGTTTATTACTCTCGTTAGATGCGCCGACGCGCGGGCATCGGAATTCTTTCTGACTCGTTCTCTCTGCTTCCTACGAAGTCGTTGTTGCCGCCTTTATACTCCGCCGTTTGAGATTTCTCTCCTTCCACCCTTCCATTATGGATCCGTCGATGAACAACTTTGATACAATTTGTTTACAGGGGTGATTAAAATGGATAGGCGATCGTTCGTCTCGGGGTAGAACGTAGAAGGGATTAAATACTAATTTTGATACACGAGTTAATTTTCGATAGGAAGTTTAGCGTTCGATTACGAGCAGGGGTTGCACCGGCGCAAAAAAGGAGGACGACAGCTTTGGAATTTCGGCCGCCATATGTCGATGAATCTACCCCCTGTGAAGCGGCACGGTCCTCGACCACCGTGAAGAATTTATGCTCTCTGCTTGCTAATTTACCTAACCGCCGTGACGGAGCGCTCTTTCGTGTGCCATTTCAAGGTTCCGCCCATCGAAATCTTCTTCGTTTTACCCATTATTTCGCGCTGGGCGAAGACCACTTCCTGCCGGTCTTCAGGATCGCACGAGTGCCGCGAACAACGCGTCGGTGAATGCTCCGCAGCGGGCCTTTGTCTTGCCCTTTTCTAACGGCGTTGTCTCGAGTGCAACGAGTGCACTCGAAAATTTCGAAGAACGCGCGCCTCTTGCTCGCTTCTGTTTCCTTCGCCCGCCATGCAGCCGGTCTTAATTAACCTATTCCAACCGAGCATTCTCTTCCAAATCAACGCGATTCGTGATACACGAATTGCTTCGACTGTTGGAAGATCGGGACTCCAATCTCTCGTGGTGTAGTTCCTCTTTGGCATCGTTTCTGTCAATTTTGGCATCGTTTCTGCCAATCTTGGCAGCGTTTCTGCCAATTTTGGCAACATTTCTGCCAACTTTGGCATCGTTTCTGCCAATCTTGGCAGCGTTTCTGCCCATTTTGGCAACATTTCTGCCAACTTTGGCATCGTTTCTGCCAATCTTGGCAGTATGCGTTACAAATAGCCTTGAGAGCCATTTATCGCACTGTTTGAAACCGTCCCGTCATAGTATGATGCTCTATATATTTCACATATCGGATATGCGAGTTTTTCTTAAATCATCGCGATCTTAGTCCACAAATTGCCATAGATATTGATGTCAATCTTTGGATTTTTATTCGACATTTCTATCCAGTAATAAATCATCGCGATTTTAATCCACAAATTGCCATAGATATTGATGTCAATCTTTGGATTTTTATTCGACATTTCTATCCAGTAGAAGTTTAACCGAATTAAAGTTAAGATCATCGTGACGAAACGATTCTAGGAAGGAATCCCAGAACGTGAATCATGGGGAAAAAACATTCCACGATGATCGAGCCACCTAGACGTCTATAGAGCCGTCTGCGCGTCGTCGGTGGACGAAAATACTCGAGGCAGCGTAGTAAACGAGTATAAATCGAGTTAGTCCGAGTTTCGTGTACATATTCATTTAATTCGTGGCCGTAATAATCGAGCAGAAGGAGCCGCATTAAGAGGTGAATCATAGGTTAACAGGAACGGGGACCACGTTCTCTCTGACCGCCGTTCCTCCAGCCCCTCGCGTCCCTGTAATAATTGCACCGACGATCAACGGGAGGACCAGGAAGGGTAGATTCCACGCGATAGGTTCGCCTCGCGATGTAATTTGTGGAAGTAACGACTGTATAATTGCGGCCTTCTTTACCTCGCGTGAAACGTTTTCACGCCACAGTCACGGGAATCCTCTCTCCCGCGCCTCGTTTTCGGGAATTCAATTACGCTCCCGTCGCTAATGCGTCCCGCGGATGACGAGCGACGATATGCACGGAATTGCTACGAGGAAGAGACGAGTTACGTCGAGGATCAACTGAACAGTGGAGTTTGGATCCGAGATATAATTCACGAGCCTGGAAATAATCCAATTTTTCTTTCATTGTTGACATCGGACATGTCACTTGACAGAGGGTTGCCTATTATCGCAAGTCAGTTCCGTAAACTCGCTGTTTCACGATATATTTTACCACGTATGATCTGACGAATGTTTGCCACGGAAGGTTTAGAGAGAAAAATGTATTTGAAAAACCTAATAGTCGTCTCACGTCGATTACGACCAAGTTTGACAACCATATTGCCCTGACACGAGCCACCCCCGCATCTGTCACGGAATACCTCTGTAATTTATGCCGTTTTAAACGCTCGACACCCCGATGATCGCCGGTGTAGGAAGAAAAAATTTAGCATGTGTAGCTTCTGGATCGCGCCGCGTTAAGGGTGGAACCACCATCGGCCCAGGCTGCGACGACACCAGTTGCGCGACGCTATAATCGCTGCAATTACGCATGGAAATTCCTGATTCATCCGACCATTTTCGACAACATTCCCGTCTTTCGCGTCGTCGTCATGGTTCGCTGTGCACTGACCGCTTTTCAACAGCATCCGTCTCCCCGAAGATTCATTAATAGGTTATGTGCGCTACCTAACCTAACTTAACCCTCGTGCCAAATTTATACATCTACGCTGTGTAAAATGGCTGTTGGGTTATTTAAAAGTTCATCGAATGATCTGAACGATAGACTGGGAGTTTGATCGCGTCGGTTCACTGGTCCAATGGCGGCCCTCTGGCAGCAGATTCGACTTGATTGGAACGCAGGTTTGGCAATAGAGTTCACAGAGATTGGAATTGCGACGGAGATTTTCGCGTGACGCGTTTCATTATCGTGGCAGTTTTACGCGCGGCACGGAACGGTGCATCAATAGAAAGATGATCTCAGGCCGCGGCCTGAAAAGGGCCTTCTCTCTTCGAGAGATCCTTTGTGCCAAGACATGTCTGTCGCGATGCTGCGAGCCGGGGTTGGGGGTTTTGGGTTACCGTCGCCGTGTGTGGCACCTCAGGTGTCTTCGATCCCTTTCATAGGCAAATACGCGATTCATAGCTTTCACGGTGCGCCTCGCTTCTCTTCCGTCCTCGAAAAATCGCCGCGGAAAGCGGCCGTGAATTCCACTCGTGCTTGCCACCCCTTTCGCCCTATGAATCGCTCTGCACGCTCTTGACACCGGACTCCATTTGCTCATCTATTTATCTTAGTAAAACGAAGAATTAATCGGCGACTCCTTTTTAAATCGCCATCTCGGAGCTTTCTCGTAACACGGAAATTACTTCGAGATATAAATATCAATCGGCTGACACTTGGAAAGCTGTCGGGACGCGCACGTGCCTCTTCGACGAGGATAATTTACGGGCGAATATTTTCCGGGACCACGAGCACGCTTATCCGGCCAATAAAAGCTACGATGTTGCTTATTACCAGGAACGCGCACGCGTTTCTACTTTGGACGAGCAGGTGAGGCGGCGGATAGATAATGGCTGAAACAAATACACGATGATTATAACATACGGGCTGATTATCTCTTCTCCGGACTTTCCACATCGGCTTTTACCGCTCGCGTTTCCTGTGACTTGCACGACATATCGACGCCACACGAATTCTGCCATTGAACGATAATGGCCGAGCGGAGCGTGCGTCTGATACGTGATTGCAATTTTAGCCCGACGTTTGACCCATTAAACCACGCTGACTTCGCGCGAGGACGCGCGCCGTGGATCAAACGCTCTTCGTTCGCCTTGTGGAAGAGTTTGTCAAAAAAATCTTTGTACAGACGATGTCACCATGTATCGGGATCAATATTTGCTTCCAGGAAAATTGATAAGCTAAATAGTTCCTCGAAGCTAGGTTGAATGACGCAACGAGCTGTCATGGAACCTATACAAACCTTGCCTTTGACAGCTGACAGGAAAACTCGAGTCTGTGCTTACGCAATTGCGAATTTACCACAAGTTTCTTGATAAAATTTCGAAATGACCGATGTCACGAGCCAAAATGGCTCCCAGATTCCTTTCCCAGAAATTGACAGAATTTTCCTGAACGAGGAACCATGGAATAATGCTTGAAAGTGTTAATGCACACGACTGCCACTTTGACTCTTGACATCGCGTGGTAATTGTTTTCGTTTCGAGCTTT